CCCCCGTCAGTTAATCACTAAAACCATGGAGACGATGTGAGAAAAAAAAAAAAAAAAAAAAGAACATTCTAGAAATGGATGGTGGTGATGGTGGCACAGTAATGTAAAGTACTTAATGCTACTGAATTGTGCGCTCAAACATGGTTAAAATGATAACTTTTGTGTATATTTTACCAGTGAAAAGAAGTAATTAAGAAAAGACTCAGGGTACCTTGACTAAAACTAGAAAAAACAATCAATCCCATGCTATATTTTATATTCCATGCTACATTTATCTACTTTTCATCTTTTAATTTGATAACTTATACAAAAGTAAGTATATGAGGCATTATGTTTATTTGTTGCCAAAAACTGGGTACATTTGAAACTGAGAGACTCTCACATCCCTACCAGTGTCCTGAGCCTGGAGGAAGGACTTGGTGACCAGGGCTCAGGTCCTCAAGACCACCTGGACCTCTTCAGCTGCTGGTACTGAGTCCGGGGCAGCTTCTGCTTTTGTGAATACCATGGAAGGCTCTGGGAAGGGAGATTGTGTCTTTTCTCCAAAAAATTGAGAGTGGAAGGGGGGAAATACTCCAACAGGGAAAACATGCAGTAAATGAGGTGACTGAGGACATCTGACATCACAAGAAGACACAGTTTCTCTTGAAGTACTGATTACAGTAAGAAACCACAGCATTTACTCTCAGCCCTTATCTTATGGATGTTCTGGGAAGACCTCACCCAGATTCCTTCAGATAACTCCCAACATCTGCTTCAAGGTTCACGGAGATAACAAGCCCATTTATAACTCCTTCTGGACACTTCTGGGAACCGCCCATTCAGTCTGCAGGGATGATAAGCTCCAAATTCCAGGACACACACTCTGCTGGACACCCCGGCTGTCCATGGGGGAAGCGGTTCATCCAGCCCATTCCCTCAAGGCCTCAGGAAGGGGCCTGCCAACTTGCACCAAAACTTGGGTTTACCCACTATAAGGAAAATCTTCCCTCTCCCCTCCACATACACGTACCTCCCACCAGGCAAAGCCCTTACCTCTGGCCATAGCTGCCCTTCCAGTGTATTCCTTCCAAGAGAGGTATGGACCTGAGGGGTCCCTGAAAGAAGGTAGAAATAGTTCAAGTTATTTAGCTGGAATTAACTCCCACCCAAATTTGTAGCTTTCATGCCCTTCCTCCCAGCCATATCTATGTGCCCAGCTCAGTAATGGCCCTTGTGTTAGGGAAGCCCAGATTCTATTTGTCCAGCTATCCCCTCCATTGGGTGGGACACCGTGCTTCCATTAACACAACCATTTAGGGCAGAATCCCCAGGTTAAAAAGCAAAAGTGTTACCTGGGAGGGGTCAGCAATAACATTACACCATGCCCAAGCACATTATCACAGATTGCTTTTTGGGCTCCTTAGCAAAGAGCAGAACCCGCAAAGAAAGTAATGTCAGACAAATAGTTCATGTTGTTGCAGATTCAAGACAAAGCAGGGAAGGCAAAGGATGTTATAAAAGAGTTTGAAGGGTAATGTGATCTTAGGAGAAGAGCTAATCACAGGACTCCTAGCAGCCATGACTGTACTAAGTACCTGGATAGGGGCTGTATTGAGGGGTCTTGCTGAACGTGAAGAATGAGGGGAAGAAAAGGCAGGTAGGGAGATGGCAAAGATACTGACCTTCTCCCAGCTTACTTTTGGCCAGTCTTTAAAAACATTTACTATTTTTTACTTTTTAAAAGTATAATTGACTTACAATAAATTAAATTCATTTTAAGTGTACACGTAGATAAGTTTTTCCATGTTTTTTAAGTACACAAACTATAGTAGTTTTAAATGAACAGCACCCTAAATTTAAAAAGGGGAAGAAAACACCCACAATGCTACTACTCTTACAATCAAAAGTGATTTTGTTTGTTCATTTTTTTCATGACCATAATCAGGCACATGTTGTATTCAGTTATAATTTGTGTGCATGCAAATTTGTATCCTGCAAACTTCCTTTGACGTATCATGAGCATTTTTAATGTTGTTATATAATTGTGATGCTTATTTCAATAGCTACATGATACATCAATGATAATGAGATTTAATCAGAGGTCAGTGTACCTTACTTCCTCTGACTTCTCCCCACCCAATGCCTGCCCAGGGTACATACTCCTTATAAGGACATGCGATACAAAAACCCCCAAACAACATTAGCAATGCCAAAAGGAATTCTGACTTGGGCAAGAGGGCTTGATTTCTTTTCCACCACAGCCTTCTTCTGCAGCTTTACTTTTTTGACCCTGAAAATAATTTATCTAGAGTTTCATGAGGAGCAACAGTATATTTCCATTCTATGCTCCCTATGAGATCAGGCACCGATTTCCACGTTAGAGCTTGCACAAGGAATGATGACAGGAATCTGCCTCCAGATTTCAGCGATTCCTTTGAAATTCCCAGAAGCAAGCTTTCTGGGCAGAAAGGGCCACATGACGGGAAGGCATAGAGGTATGGACAAGCACAAAATGCTGGAAAAGGCTGGCATAGGGGTAACTGGAGGCCAGGGAAGTGGTGGGCAGGGGGGATGAGGCTGCACAGACAGATGGTAGCTGGGCTGGGGAGCCACAAATGCCAGGCTAGTCCATGAGCAACAGGAAGCTGTGACCAGTCTCTGAAAAGATGATTTTAAGGTAATCATCACTCCAGGGGGAGTGGGATGGAGGAGTTAGCAGGGCAGAGATTTGAGACTATTTTGGTAATTTTCTTTCTAAGCCAGGATAAAAATGTAAATGGTAGCCAACACAAATACAGTTTCTATGTGCCAGGCACTGTTCTAAACACTTATGTGAACTAATTCGTTTAATCCTCATGACAACTTTATGAGATAAATGCCATCATCTCCAGTTTACAGACAGAAAACTGAGGCCCCAAAAGGTTAAATGGCCTTTTAAAGGTGGCAAGAGATGGTGACTCATGCCTGTAATCCCAGCACTTTGGGAAGCGGAGATGGAATGATTACTTGATCTCAGGAATTTGAGACCAGCCTGGGCAACATAATGAGAATCCGTCTCTAAAAAAAAAATACATATATATATATAAAAATTAAAAAATATGACATTGCTAGCAAATGGTGATGGTGGGGTTTGAAAACAGGCAGTCTGGCTCATCTGACTCCATGAGCCACGCTTGAACCAAAAAGCTAAGTGTAAGCCACATGCCCAAGGTCTAGACCAGGGCCAGCAGACTTTTTCTGTATAGGGCCAGATAGTCAATATTTTAGATTTTACTCACCATATGGTCTCTACTGAAACTACTCAAGTCTGCTGCTGCAGTGTGAAAGCAGCCACGAACAACATGTAAACAAATTAAATTTATTTATGGTGACTGAAGTTTGAATTCCATATAATTTTCATGTGTCACGAAATATTCTTTTTATTTTTTGGAACCATTAAAAAATGTAGCAACCTTTGTGGATATCAAGAAACTGATTCTAAAATTTATATGAAGAGGCAAATGACCTAGAAGAGCCAACACGATATTGAAGAACAAAGTTGGAAGACTGATACTATCTGACTCCAGGATTGACGATACAGCTACTGTGATCAAGACAGTGTGACTGGCAAAAGAATAAACAACTAGATCAACAAGACAGAATACAGAGCCCAGAAATAAACCCACATAAATAGAGTCAACAGAGCTTTGACTAAGGAGCAAAGGCAATATTACAGAGAGGAGACAGTCTTTTCAACAAATGGTGCTGGAACAACAATTTTTTAATTAAAAGAAAATCACTCCTCAAAAGCTTTTGGACCCCTTCTTTAAATAGTAGTATTCTAAAACAAATTTTATGACAGCTAATATACTCAGCACTCTATTATAAAGTTTTTAAAAATGAAATAAGCAGAAGATCTAACCCAGTGCCTGTACAAAGTATATGTCGAAATATGTTAATTATGATGAAAGATGCTCTCATTTGATTATCAAAACAATCCAGCATTATTAGTATAATTTTAAAGCAGCAAAAGTTTTAAATGTTGTTTAGAGGGTTGGGTCTGGGTCCAGAGTTTACTGCTCACTCCGGAATTCAAAGGTTTTAATGAGGCTCAAAAGAGGATGTTTCTGAAGACGACAGGTGTATCCCCACATTTTTTTCCTGAAACTGTTATGGAATCTTCTAGGTCTTTTATTTTTTTCTGCTGCACTCCCGCATTCTGTTATGCACTCCCACACCCTGGGTGGTGTGTGTGTGTGTGTGTGTGTGTGTGTGTGTGTGTGTGTGTGTGTGTGTGTGTGCAGGCGCGTGCTTATGTGTGTCTGTTGAAAATTATAAAAGCAGCAAGAATTTGAGAAGTCAGGACCCCAAAGAAAAAGTAAGTACAGAGAGTGGGCTCAGCATCCTTGAAGCATTTGTCAAATCATGAGTAACAGAAATCAGCAGCCGAGAGGCTAAGACACTGCGCAGAGCTTCAGGCAGTTTAATGGAACTGGGGGAAAACACTGAGTTCAGCACACATCGAGGAGGAGGGACCCTGATGAATATTGCAGGCTTTCAAGTAGAACCTAAAACAGACCTTTGGAGTAGGGATAAACTAGAAATGGGCTGATCTGTAAAAAGTCTAAAGACCAGACTTGAATCAGTTTGACTCCTGATTAGATAAAAGTGATCTGTTCCTCCCTAACTGCCTGCCGAAAGCAAGAGGAAAACCTTTATGGATGAAAATACTACCAGCCAGAGCATGAAAATTATCTAATTTTTTATATACAATGCCTGGCTTTGCATTAAAAAATTTCCAGGAGACAACATTAAATAAACCAAAGCCAAGAGAAAATTTAAAAACAACAGACAACAGATTAGTGAAAAGCAGTGGACTAATATGGAAATAAATGAAGGAAATCCACAATCTTTCCAGCTCAATGTTTCGTACCCAGTTACAACAAGAGGTGGTCAAATCAGAAATTTGGACAATGGGGCAATCTAGGAAATAAGAAGTACTGAGATATGCTCCTCACATATCTCTGAGTAACTGGAAATTGATGTATGTGCCAGAAAGACTGAAAGAGCCACATGTAAATCTAAAACCAAGAGAGACTTAAGAATTGGCTCTAACTTTGTGCTCATTCTCTAACCTACACACACAGCAAGCAACAGAACCTTATGGTCTCAAGGTGTTTGAACATAACCTCTGTCCAAATCATTGACTGATCACTAAACCATGCAGACTCAGGGACTCCTAGGATGCCAGGCCAAAAAACAAAACAAAACAAAACAAAACAAAACAAAAAAATAGGAGAGAGAGAGAGAGAAAGAAAAAAAAGAAAGAAAGAAAAAAAAAACTGAGCAAAGACATCAGTGGTTAGCTGCACACAATGAGAGAGACAGATTTCACAGTTTAAGTCCAGGCAAGTTATTAAAAAACAAACTAATGACCTTCAGAAAAATAAAACAGAATCCAGAATCGCTATGTTTGATCAAACATGTCTAGTCTTCAAACAAAAGTTACTAGGCATGCCTTGATATTGAAACAACAGTCCCAGAAGAAGAAAAAAAGCAATCAATGGAAACTGAGTTGACACAGATGTTAGATTTCACAGGCAAAGTCTTCAAAGCAGCTATTATATGTATTTGAAGAATTAAATAAAGCCACGAAGACAATGACAACAAATAGAAGTGATATAAAATGGAAATTCTGGAGTTGAGAAGTACACTAACTGAAAAGAAAGATTCACGAAGTGGGTTCAGCAGCAGGCTTGAGAAGACAGAATAAAAGATCAGTAAACTTAAAGATAGTAAGTATATTTCTAAAAAATACAGAGGAAAAAAGATTGAAGAAAAACAGAACCTCAGATCTGTGGACAGCGTCAAACATACAAACATACATGTAATATGAGCCCCAGAAGAAAAAGAAAGACAGAGATGGGGTGGGGCGGGGGAAGGCAGGAAATGATTTAAAGATAAAATGGCTAGGCTGAGGTGGATGGATCACCTGAGGTAAGGAGTTCGACACCAGCCTGGCCAACATGGTGAAACCTCATCTCCACTAAAAAAATTTTTTTAAAAAAGTTAGCCAGGCATGATGGTAGGTGCCTGTAATGTCAGTTACTTGGGAGACTGAAGCAGGAGAATTACT